AAGCTGGGAAACTGGATCGAGGTGTAGAAAGAAGGCCCCTGTTTGAAGCCGATCTCCACGTTAATGATATATGAGCCTCTTCTCTAATCCAGCTCAGTGTGGTGGAAATGCAGGTGGGTAAGAGTGACCTGACTTGGGAAGGGGCAGCTGGGAAAAAAACAATAGTGCAGGGTGATATCAAACCACAAAGGTCCTCTCACTTTTCTCCGCATGACGCTCCTCTGCTGGAATGCGACTGGTGGGAACAGGATTGTTTGAGGAGATGTGTTTGTTTAATGGATCACGGTTACAGATTGTGCTGTTTATAAAGCTGAAGATGCAGATTTCTAAGATGTCAAGAAGTCTTTTTTTTTCCCTTTTAAAAAAAGTTAATAAAGAATTTTTTAGTGTTTTTGAAAGAAGTGTCTTATGCTAACCAAAGCTGCATTTATATGTTCAAAAATAAAGTAAAAATTGTTGTATTAATATTATTATTACAATTTAAAATAACTATTTTTTATTGTAATATATTTTAGAATGTCATTTAGATTTGGTGCTCAAGAAACATTTCTTATTATCAATGTTGAAAACAGTTGTGCTGCTTAGTATTTTTGTGGAAACCATGATACTGTACCATTCTAATGTTTGGAGTAAGTAAAAAAAAAAAGTAATACTTTTATTCCACAAGGACACATTCAATTTTCCAAAAGTCACAGTAAAGATATTTATAATGTTACAAAAGATTTAAATTACAAATAAATGCTGTTTTTTTTTTTTTTTTTACTTAATAGTCACTGAATAATGTATAATGGTTTCCACAAAAATATTAAGCAGCAAAAACTGAATAACTGATTATAACTGAGCATGTCAAAATTCAGCTCTGCCATCACTGGAATAAATTACATTTTAAAATATATATTAAAATTGAGACTTTTTTTTTTTAATTGTAACAATATTTTACAATATTACCATTTACAGTATTGTTATTATTAATATTATTATTATAAATAATACATTGTTTTATTATTGTTGTTTTATTATATTAAAATGTTTAAATATTTTATTTTGTATTTTATTATACTATTAATTATATTATTTTACAATATGAAATATTTTCCAGCCTTTGACTGGTAGGTTATATTAAAATAGAAAATGGTTATTTTAAATTGTATAAATATGTCACAAAATCATTACTTTATTATTTTGAACAAATAAAAATAAACGTGTGTAAAACAAATGTGCATTTTTAAAGCAATACTTTATACAAAATAAATATTCTATCATCTATGTTGTTCCAAATCTGTATGACTTTGATTTGATATTGATATGATTTTTGAAATGTTCTAGTCTTCTGATGCCATACAATAGCTTTGTGTGAGAAACGGACTCTAAGTCATTCACCAGAAATCTTGCTGCACACTCTTAAAAATAAAGGTGCTTCACGATGCCATAGAAGAACCTTTTTGTCTAAATGGTTCAATAAAGAACCTTTAACATAGGAAGAACCTTTCTGTTTGACAAAAGGTTCTTTGTGGCGAAAGAAGGTTCTTCAGATTATAAAAAGGTAAGAAAGACATGATTCTTTAAAGAGCCTTTGACTGAATGGAAAACGTCTCAGGTTACTTATGTAACCATGGTTCCCTGAGTAGGGAACGAGACACTGCGTCCTCTAGGGGTCGCT